TTGGTGTAATTAGCTGTGGAAATGTGATGTTGTTTGATTCATTGAATTACTCTGTTGTTATTTAGTTTTTCGAATTGTATTGATAATGGCACTTTTTAAAGATTATATTGCAACATTGAATGATATAATGTTGAGCGATGCTGGAATACTGACCTTATTCGAGTGATAATGATAATAATCTGAGAAATATCAGAAATATCCATGAGAAGAGTATGAGTCTCGGTTGTACTGAATCTTGACCTGAATTCTCAATTATTTTTTTTATTCTCGATTCATTTTTTTTGCGAATGGTTGTTCATAATTTACTTTTCCATTGTCATTTCATTTTCTGAGGTTGTTCACAAATGAAATTCGAATTCTTATTTGAAAATAATCTCACAATTTCAACACTAGCAAGATTTGTTCAAGTCATTGTCAAAATGATGATTGCGTTGATAAATTTATCAGTGAACATTTCAGAGCGATTCAAATTAACCGATGAATTGGTTGATCTGCAATCTGAGATCAGCATTAAAGAACGCCTGGTGATGGAACTGGAACGTAGTGAACGACGATTAAATGAAGTAAGTTCTGAGAAATTTTTTCATCTCTGAACTGCACNACTGCACACCTCCATCTGACTGTACGAATTCAGCACTGTGCAATTCGAATTATCATGTCGAAGTAATCGCAATATGGAATAAAGCAACTAGTTTTGAGAGATTCTCATTGAATGCAACTGAAGAAAAATAATCCATCAACTGGCAATTATAAAACTGAGTTTTTATCGAGCAATTTCACGCACTTTGATTCAGTGAATGTTGCTGACAAAAAATATCACATAGATAAGTCATCAACTGAGTTTCATCCATTGTTGTTAGCCAAAAATATTATTTGATAGTGTTCATTATTCACATAACACTATGTTTATTTATCGGATCATGTTTTCCTTCCTTGCATGTGTGTCTGTTGTATTCGAATGTTTTTACTCGCGTGAATTTTTCACTCTCTGAAACATTCAAATCTTATCAGAAAGAGTGCTTATGAAAAAATTGCTGTTCAGCAACGACTGAGCCAATTTAGGGTCATAGCGAAAGCTCCAGTAAGATTCAACAATTCCATCGTTAATATCAGTGTTTTTCTGTTGAGCATTTCAAGTGTCATTTTTTATTGACAAAAAGAAGAGTTCATTTCCCTGTTCGCAAAAATACATTAGTTGTCCCTCATGAAAAGTTTTTTCATTCATTTACTCACCGACTAATACGGAAATGAAGAGGATCTATGGCATTCAATTGCAATCAATTAACTGACTAAAATCTTTATAAATATTTCAAATTGGCTATCGTTATTATTCAATGACTTATCTGCACTGCATTTGTGGTGTCATCATATCCCATAGCTATGAAAATCTATTTGTTGATGTTTTATTTGCATTTGTATCTTCACTGAAAGATGTATCTTCACTGAAACACTTATCTGATACAAATCTATTTGATTTGTATCAGATAAGCGTTTTGAATGAGCAATGTGAAGGGTTATTGGTGTTGATTGGTTTTTTGTAACGAATAGAATTAGAGCATTCTTCTCAACTATTTCTTATCATTGATAATATGAAACGAATCCGCTTGAAACTCTAAAGTGTTCCATGTGATGTGAGCGAATGTGAAGCGAAGCGAAGCGATTGAAAAGGAAATTCTGTTTTTCGTTCTATTCATCCATTGATTTTCTGATCGAGTCTTTCGTCGTTTACCAATTGTTGTTCAGTTGGTGTACATGAGATCTAAAATTGTTTCCATTTGGCCGTAGAGGTTTAGCTGTTCAAATGTTGATGAGTTGAGAACATGATGTGGTGAAAAGCACTTGAAATAGTAAACTTTTTGTTGTGGGAGACACAGAAACTGCTCTCGTTATTATCGAGTGACATTAAGCTTACCAAGAACAGTAGTGCAGTGAACCGATCAAATGGTTGTGAAGTGAATGATTGAATTGTCGAAATCGCTTGTTGCTTATCAGTATTTTATCAATACGTTCATTTCATCTCATCAATATCCATCAAGAAACAATAGTGATAATAGATTTATTTAAGGTACGAATCACTTATGAAAAGAAGCTCGCCGAATTGTCCCTTCGAATCGCAGCCACTGAAGCTGAAAGAGATCGTGTTCTCTCTGAAATGGGTTCGGAACTGTTACTAACGTTGTTGTTCTATCATTGTTATCATTATTGTCGCAATTGCTAACGCGATGAACTTCCGATAGTAGTTGAATTGAAACATGCATAGTTTGTCACTGAGTGAGTTTCGGAAGTTGCAAGAAATAACTCTCAACGCAGAATAACCAAGCGAAATATTTGAAATGCGTGAATTTTGCTTTCAATTGTCTTTGACATTAGCGTTTTTTTTGTAGCGACTAAAAATGCGTCGAAACTCGATTCGGAACACGTGAAGAAGATTCGTGAAGACTACGAAAGGAAACTGAATGAAATGCGAACCGAGTTCAAGAAGTTGCAATCGGTCGAAAGGGAACATCGTAAAATGCAAGCTCGACAAGCAATGGAACAACAGCAGTTAATGAAGTTACGCGGTGAATTGTCCGACATGAAGAAACTTAAGGTGCTTTCATTCTGAATTTCTTCGCAGATAACTTCAGTTCCCTCAATTTATCATCTCCGATTCTTAATCCTGATATCTGTGAATATTTATCAAGCGTGAAGTTCACAATTGAACACGTTCAACTTAACGACCGAATGAACATTCTATGATTATCGCTTTTCTCGTTGATATTATCATAATCAGTTCTGAGATGGAAAATGTTTGTGGAAGTGAACGTACTTTAAACGATGCAACTTCAAGATGAACATCGTTCAACAAATAATTACATTTGCACATAGTATCGAAAACAGTCATTTCAAGCACTATTACGACATAGTAATGTGGAACTTTATCGAGATTTATCGAGCGTGAAACTGAATTGTTGGAATAAATGATGGTGTTTTCGTTGTGTATAATCTGATAGTTTGTGTCGACTACAGGTTGAATTAATGCAAAAAATCAAAGAAGAAGCAAAGAAAGCGAAAGCATCCGAATTGGCCCATTCGAAGCGAGTAGCTGGATTAGAGAAGGAATCGAGGTTGATTCGTTTCGTTTTCTCATCTGATTTTCTATTCACTTTTACATCAACAAACGAATATCGTTTGATAATTTTTTTTCCATATGGATTTCTTCACATTTGACGAATAGATCATGATGGATGGATGGATTGATAGAGCAAATACAATAAAATAGTTGAATTCGCATGCATATTAATGTGATGGATTACTTATTTTTCAAAGACTAAATGACATGTTCGTTCGCCACTGATTGAAACAATACATAGGAGATATAATTGGCTCAAAGTTGACAGTTGACTGTTATAGGAAGAAAGACAATCAAATAAAGCAATTGGAGAACCGAGATCGTCAAAGGGAAATGTTCTTGAAGAGGACCAATGATGAACTGGCGCGATTACGTGAAAAGAATCGACAAACGGTATGCATCAAATGTAAACTGTATTCACTGCGGATTAACTGAAGCAGAATTTTGCTGGTAACTGAAGCAGAAAAGCGAAAACTATATCATTCACTAATCAGTATCAAATAATGGGATTTCATCCCAGCCGCGAACAATGTTAACTGTTTTGTGGGATTAGCATTTATCAATCGCAGATAAACATTTCGTTCATTATTGAGTAAAAAAATGAAAATTTCTCTTGGAAGTCAAAGGATTTGTGGGATATTTTCGGAATGCTGTATTGCTTTTTGAACAAAATGTAAGACATATTATTGACCATAGAAAAAAATTGTTACGTTTGTGAGTGTTGGTGTGCCTCTATTGATGATTCTTGTAAGTTGTTGTCCGTTGATAATGACTGATATAGAACCGAATCACACGAACGGGTCGAGGTGGCTTCGAGCCGACGAATTCGGCATCGAATTTAAGCAGTTCCGCGGCCAGTAATCGCACATCAGCTGC